AGGGATGATTTGTCAAACTCTCGTTTTTGAATTTAGGATCTCGGACGAGGTCAACGGGCATTTTTTATGAATACGGGGGTGAATTTTCTTATCAACGAATGTCTTTCTTACGAGTTCTATGGATTTTTTTGGCTTTTCGAGCCTCGGGCTCCAAAAACGGAAAAACGATACTAGAATCTTTCGCATACCCTATCTCGTTTGGGGGTGTTAGATACCGAATCAGGAAGCCCCGATCTTTCGACTGTGACGGTCGAACTCAAGCCGATCTTTTCGGCTTGACGGTCGACCTTTTGAGCAGAAAGGAACTTGGACGAGGTTCCGCCGAAGGCAGAATCTCGTTCGGGGTGAATGACCTACCCGATCTCGTTTTTACGAGTTATACGGGCATATTTTTGGCTGAGCCTACGGGCTCAGAAAAACCCCACGATAAAAACGACCTTGTGTCACATGCAACCCTCGTGGGGGATTTAGATACCGAATCAAGCCGATCTTTTCGGCCTTGACGGTCGAACTCTCTGCTTTAAAAAAGAAAGGAACCCGGACGAGGTTCCGCCGATAGGCAGAATCTCGTTCGGGGGGTAAATGCAACCCTATCTCGTTTTTTTTTTTTATACGGGCATATTTTTGGCTGAGCCTACGGGCTCAGGAAACCCACGATAAAAAAACGACTATTTTTGTGTCACATTTTTTTTTGGTGGTGGGGGGTGGTTAAATACCGAATCAAGCCGATCTTTTCGGCTTGACGGTCGATCTCTCTGCTTTTGAGCAGAAAGGAACCCGGACGAGGTTCCGCCGAAGGGCAGAATCTCGTTCGGGGTGAATGACCTACCCTATCTCGTTTTACGAGTTATACGGGCATTTTTTTTGGCTGAGCCTACGGGCTCAGGAAATGTACGATAAAAACGACCTTGTGTCACATGCAACCCTCGTGGCATTTGGCTAGATACCGAATCAAGCCGATCTTTTCGACTTGACGGTCGAACTCTCTGCTTTTGAGCAGAAAGGAACCCGGACGAGGTTCCGCCGAAGGCAGAATCTCGTTCGGGGTGAATGACCTACCCTATCTCGTTTTTACGAGTTATACGGGGCATATTTTTGGCTGAGCCTACGGGCTCAGGAAACCCCGATAAAAACGACCTTGTGTCACATGCAACCCCTCGTGGGGGGGGTGGCTAGATACTGAATCAAGCCGATCTTTTCGACTTGACGGTCAACTCTCTCTTTTTTTGAGAAAAAAAGGAACCCGGACGAGGTTCCGCCGAAGGGCAGAATCTCGTTCGGGGTGAATGACCTACCCTATCTCGTTTTTACGAGTTATACGGGCATATTTTTGGCTGAAATTTACGGGCTCAGAAAACCCACGATAAAACGACCTTGTGTCACATGCAACCCTCGTGGTGGGGGGGCTAGATACTGAATCAAGCCGATCTTTTCGACTTGACGGTCGAACTCTCTGCTTTTGAGCAGAAAGGAACCCGGACGAGGTTCCGCCGAAGGGCAGAATCTCGTTCGGGGTGAAATGACCTACCCTATCTCGTTTTTACGAGTTATACGGGCATATTTTTGGCTGAGCCTACGGGCTCAGGAAACCCACGATAAAAATGACCTTGTGTCGCATGCAACCCTCGTGGGGGGGTGGCTAGATACTGAATCAAGCCGATCTTTTCGACTTGACGGTCTAACTCTCTGCTCTTGAGCAGAAAGGAACCCGGACGAGGTTCCGCCGAAGGGCAGAATCTCGTTCGGGGTGAATGACCCTACCCTGATCTCGTTTTTACGAGTTATACGGGCATATTTTTGGCTGAGCCTACGGGCTCAGGAAACCCACGATAAAAAATGACCTTGTGTCGCATGCAACCCTCGTGGGGGGTGGCTGAATACCGAATCAAGCCGATCTTTTCGGCTTGACGGTCGAACTCTCTGCTTTTGAGCAGAAAGGAACCCGGACGAGGTTCCGCCGAAGGGCAGAATCTCGTTCGGGGTGAATGACCTACCCGATCTCGTTTTTACGAGTTATACGGGCATTTTTGGCTGAGCCTACGGGCTCAGGAAAACCCACGATAAAAACGACCTTGTGTCGCATGCAACCCTCGTGGGGGGTGGCTAGATACCGAATCAAGCCGATCTTTTCGGCTTGACGGTCGAACTCTCTGCTTTTGAGCAGAAAAAAACCCGGACGAGGTTCCGCCGAGGGGCAGAATCTCGTTCGGGGTGAATGACCTACCCTGATCTCGTTTTTCCGAGTTATACGGGTATATTTTTGGTTGAGCCTACGGGCTCAGGAAACCCACGATAAAAACGACCTTGTGTCACATGCAACCCTCGTGGTGGGGTGGCTAGATACCGAATCAAGCCGATCTTTTCGACTTGACGGTCGAACTCTCTGCTTTTTGAGCAGAAAGGAACCCGGACGAGGTTCCGCCGAAGGGCAGAATCTCGTTCGGGGTGAATGACCTACCTGATCTCGTTTTTACGAGTCATACGGGCATATTTTTGGCTGAGCCTACGGGCTCAGGGAAACCCACGATAAAAACGACCTTGTGTCACATGCAACCCTCGTGGGGGGTGGCTAGATACCGAATCAAGCCGATCTTTTCGACTTGACGGTCGAACTCTCTGCTTTTGAGCAGAAAGGAACCCGGACGAGGTTCCGCCGAAGGGCAGAATCTCGTTCGGGGTGAATGACCTACCCGATCTCGTTTTTACGAGTTATACGGGCATATTTTTGGCTGAGCCTACGGGCTCAGGAAACCCACGATAAAAACGACCTTGTGTCACATGCAACCCTCGTGGGGGGTGGCTAGATACCGAATCAAGCCGAGGCTTCTCGACTTGACGGTCGAACTCTCTGCTTTTGAGCAGAAAGGAACCCGGACGAGGTTCCGCCGAAGGGCAGAATCTCGTTCGGGGAAAATGACCAACCCGATCTCGTTTCTACGAGTTATACGGGCATTTTTTGGCTGAGCCTACGGGCTCAGGAAACCCACGATAAAACTCGACCTTGTGTCACATGCAACCCTCGTGGGGGGTGGCTAGATACCGAATCAAGCCGAGCTTCTCGACTTGACGGTCGAACTCTCTGCCTTTTGAGCAGAAGGAACCCGGACGAGGTTCCGCCGAAGGGCAGGATCTCGTTCCGGGAGAAATGACCAACCCGATCTCGTTTATACGGGTTCTACGGGCATTTTTGGCTGAGCCTACGGGCTCAGGAAATCCCACGATTAAACTCGGCCTTGTGTCACATGCAACCCTATTGTGGGGGGGGGCTAGATACCGAATCAAGCCGAGCTTCTCGACTTGACGGTCGAACTCTAGTGAGCAGAAACAAAACCAGACTGACAGGGCAGAGTAACTCCTTCCACAACTTCTATTCTTTATTTTACGGGTTTTACAGGCAATTTTGGCCGAATATACCTTGGTTATCCACGTTAAACTCTTGTGTTCATGTTGTTCTAGATACCGATTGAGTCGAGCCTAACCTGGACCAAAAGACTGACAGTTATTATTATTATTATTTATAATTTACCTTTTTATTTTCTCTTTGTTCATGTTTTTTTCCTTGATCCTTGGACCATTCATTATTATTATTATTATTAGACGGGCAGAATCGGGAAATGTCACCATGAAATTTTCATTTTTTGCGCATTTAAAAAAAAAAAATCAACAACATAAAAAGCCACATCTTTTATATAGATAACACCATTCTTTGGGTGTGAGCTGTACTTGTGGGAACATTTTTTGTATTTCCTTAAGGCAGGGGCTGTCAGGGATCCTTTCAACGAGTCCATGAAACTTTTTCTATAAAACCCAAGATTTTATTAATAATTTTTTAAGATCATTAAAGTTACATTTCGATATGGAAATTTCTGTAGACTGCAATGTAGCCTCGAAGAAAAACTATCAAAATACAAGGATCTTGAAGTTTAAATCAAAACAATGTGATACATGAAGACGACAATAATTATAGTTTATTATTATTATTATTATTATTATTATTATTTCCTTTGATTTTTGTTATATGCTAATTTCCTTCGCGGTCCCAATCAGAGACCTAAGTTTAGAAATCACATCATGGCATTTTCTATTGAACATTTTTGAACATAAGATCACACACATATTACATTGATAAAGCCCTACATAAGGTGTGGGCCGTAATGCCGTAAAAAAACATGCCGTAAAAGAAGCTGTAAAAACAAATCGTAATAAAAAGCCGTAAAAACGAATCAATCACTCAATCTCGTGAATTGGTTCTTAGGTATTGCTATCCTTCACCTGATTTCTTCGTCACTCTTGACCCTGTCTGTCATTAGGGACCCAAGGTAGACAAGAGATCAAACTTGTTCAATACTTCCACCATTGATGTCCAGGTTAAAATCACTTAAAATCGATCAATATGTTGTTATTTTTTTACAATGATGGTCACTTTGTATAAGGCTTAAGAACCACTCCAGGTAGAGGATTACAGAAGAAGAGTCAGAGCTTATTGGAATGCGCGGGGAAGATAACAGTTAGCCCTAGACATAAACAGGTTAAGATTTTAATGATCGGGGTGAAAAGTTAATTGGTAACTGAAACACACAAAATTGAAAATGTGTGAGCATCCATCTTTTGGCAATTTCCTTCCAAGGTGTATTACAAGTTTCTGGATTACAGCTATTTTCAGTGTGTTCGAATATAAAGCGTTCCGATTAAACCTTTCGTAAATTGAAACGGTTAATTGATTTGTTTTCTACAACTTATTAACTATTTGCAGGTTTTTTAAAACCAGAAAATATGTTTTTAGATTGTAAGAATTTTTTTGAGTGGAGAGGAGATAATAATGGTTTAGTGATACAATTCTTACTAATTAATCCATAGCTGGGGGAGAGGAGGTGGATTCATACCTTTCCTAAGGATATTTGTGCGTAAGTGAATATAACGAAAGTAACGGGAATTGGAACTCGGCTCTCCGATTAACAATTCCGAGCCATTATCCATTACACCACCCAAACATCCCAGCTGATAGCACCCGGTGTTCCCAAGCGGTCACCTATCTAGGTACTGACCAGACTCAACGTTGCTTAAATTCGGTGATTGCACGGAAATCGGTGATTCAGCGTGATGTGACCACAAGACAAATTGAAACGGTGTGCAGCGAGGGAGCAAATACAATTAGTTTTTACGGGGAATAATTTTGAGAGTTCTCAGGTCGAAACAAAATTGCATTAGATTTTTGTTATGATTGACAGTATAGAACAATGAATGTCGAAATATCTGATGAGTTTCGAAAGGGATACTTAGGCAAGTTTGCAAGATGTTTTGGGTGCCTACCAAGATCTACATAGTCAGAAAATGTATGAGGCTAAGCAGTCAAGTATACTATCATATGACAAATCTTTTTCTTTAGTTAGAGCAAGTGGCAAACCTCAACCTTCGATGTCGAAGCAAGCAAATATAAGGTCATTTTATTTTGGTCTGGGAATGCATAAACATTTTCTAACAAAATAATGATAACACCTTCATCGCTTTATACCATTTTATATTGCATATAGATTTCTGTTCTAATGTAATGTCGGCTATGTAAGAACTTACCATCCCCACTCCAACATATTATTATCTGAAAAAAATTACATTCCCTACTCTTATTCTTAAAAGTGGTATAAAATTTTGGTTTTTTTGAAAGCAATCAATATATATATATATATATATATATATATATATATATATATATATATAGTACAAAAATTAACAGATCCGTTAGTATATAATCCAAGTGGATCCTAGTAATAAAAAATATTAAAACTGATAAACAAAAGAGCCCAATGTATTTATTACAAAGCAAATAATTATTTTATTGTTTATTAATTATATATATATATATATATATATATATATATATATATATATATATATATAAAAAAAAAAAAAAAAGAACAGTCAGATTTATAATCTACAGTTCTTTTTAAAAAAAACAGTGTTCGATATACAGTAGATCATGAAATTATAATATTTACAAATATGTATTCATCGCAACACAGAAATTACCATGTTTCGGAACTAAAAACTAAACTTTAAATTAAAGTTAAAATTAAAGTTTTTTTCCATTATCAAGCGATGTTGGGCAACTTACGAAAAAAAAATGATTTACTTTTTTAAGATAAATAGTATTATATAGTTTAGGGGAGGGGGAAAGGGATTACAAAATTTAAAATGTTTGACGAATCAGGATACAAGTCTAATTTAAGATGGCAAATGTAAATATGAGTTAAGGGTTAGGTATGGGTTTGTAATTTCTGCCTGTCGATACTGGCTTCCTTATCTGAGAACGTGTCATCCTGTCTGTTTTTAGGCGAATACATAAGATACACGACAATACATTAGCAATTTTATTTATTTTTTTAAATTTTTTATAAAATACATTGGTGCTGTCTAAATCATATTTTATCTATCTATATTTTTATTTATAAAGATCTAAAACACTATAGTTATTATATTTATTAGTATACTGTATATGGTATTGTTAAAATTAAGATTGAAATTTTAGGAATTTAATTACGCATTTTTTTTACTTTCATATTTGTGATCAAATAATAAATATATAATTATGAATTTTTTGGGCACCTCGCGGTGGTGTAATGGTTAGCAAGCTTATCTCGTTAGAACAATTAGGAATGAGTAGTGAATTCAATCCTCACTGGATGCTCCATACTTTCGGCCTTGTGCCACACCCGATCTACGCTTGGAAAATCGCTATAATTATGATTTTTTTTAATTAATTATGTTTTAAAGTAAACATAGTGTAGTGTCTACAAAAAACAGTTATTTCATTTCATTGATTTAATAAATCTTTATTTTTTAGAAACTTAATAGTATATAACTTTTCATGTAGGCACGAAGGACATGGGTCATTTAAGGACTACAAGTTGTCGTTTTTTAATAATCTCCATTTTGCTGTGAGGGTTTTATTTGTTTCTTTTAAATGCCAAAAATATTTTGATAGGGATGTTTGGTTACAATGCACATTATTTTTGAAGGAAGACAGAGAAGAAACAGAAATAGAAAAATCATTTGGTACACACCACCATTCAACCAAATGGTTAGTAGTAACTTAGGACATAAATTCCTTGCTTTAACTGAAAAACATTTTCCAAGAAATAAACCTCCTAGCAAATTTTTTAATAAAAATACCATAAAATTAGGTTATAGTTTTACTGATAATTTAGAAAAAATTATAAAAAAATAATAACATTTTAAATAACTACTTAAACCAGAATAAAAAATAGTGATCCAGAAATAAGAATAAATAATAGTAAAGAAAAATAATGTAACTGGAAGAATCCTATAAATTGTCTATTGAATAATAAATGTCCCACAGAACCTATAGTTTACCAATATGCTATCTCATCTATTGAGAATCCTAATATTAAAAAAAAATTATATTGGTAGCACTAAAAATAACTTTGAATTAAGGTGGAGCCAACATCTCTCTCCTTTCAAAAATAATATATATATGTGTATGTGTATGTGTATGTGTGTGTGTGTGAATTACAAAAATGAAACCCAAATTACTCCATTTATATGGTCATTTCGTCCCCAGGAGATTCTCTCTAGGACTTGTCAATGCAAATACATTTGTTAAAGAAATGAATTCTAGCGGGTTTTTAAAAAAGAAATTTGGAAAATAAAAATTAAGGAAGGAAGGAAGGAAAGAAAATAGAAGAAGGAAGAAGAAAGAAAGAAGAGGAACAAACAATATATAAGGGAAATGGGATTTATAGAGAGACAAAGAAACTAAGGTGGTTGGGGTAGGATTTACCGGAACAAATCTAAACAGAAAAAAGACAGTGGAAAATAAACAACGACCTAAATTTAACATATTAACTCTTGTACAAATGGGAAAAAATCCATAAAAGATTTACATACAAAATTGTCCCAGGGATAATCTCCCGGATACGAAATGGTCATCTGAATGGGGTAATTTGGCTTTCAGTTTCATTTTTATAATTCACTTATGTGCTTTATAATAAATATATTGAGCTCTCTTTTGTGGATCAGTTTTAATATTTTATATTATTAGGATCTACTTGGGTTACTTACCCACGTATTTTTACCTATATATATATATATATATATATATATATATATATATATATATATACGTTATCGTAATAGACAGAAATAATTTAAGTAAATACTCTGTTCTAAATAGTATTAATTACAGAGCATTTATTTAAATAAATTGTATCTATTAAAATAACGTTTAATTTACTCTTTAATTTTACTGTTTAACACTCAGTAACCCCTTGCGTATTAGTGGCTTTATTGCCTTGCTTTGGGTGAAATGATTAGAAAAAAGTTCTCTGCCATATAAGAGGACAGTTATGACAACAGTTTAACACTCTTTTCTTGCTTTCTTTCTACATTTTTCTATCTCTAGACAAAAGTACAAAACATTGCTTAATGCTCTTCCTTGGCCCTTCCCTCTGTGCGGATGCTTCAAGCGTTATGGATAGACGAGAAGAGAAACATTGTGTGAGGGGACGGCTTGTTAGGACTCGAGCGCATTATATTACATTTTAACCCCACTGGGTGGGCTAGGGAACAAATATATTGTGTTTTCAAGTAATTTAGGTTTTTGCTTTGCTAAAAATACCCAGAATATAGATGGGAAAATAGGTGATACTATACACGAGTTAGTTATCATAAACCTTCTCATATTAATGTATTAAGCAGGTTGAAAGAGACATTTTCGACCTGAATGTGTCAAGTGGTCTCATTGTCTAATCTGGTGACGATTACCAGAATAGGAGTGAAGGCCTTTCCCTTAAATATCTTAAGATAAAAGAAACAAATAGTCCAACTATGAACGCCACTAGATATTTTTGCAATTTTCCTTTAGAAAAGAAATTATTTTTATGACTTTAATATATTTTCCTATTGAAATAATATCGATTAAAAGGTAAGATAAATAATTTCGTTATTATATTACATTTTAACCCCATTAGGGAACAAATATATTGTGTTTTCAAGTAAACAGAATTCTGTTGTCAGAATTTAAGGAAATTCCAGGTTGGAATATTTGGAATTTGTAGACAGAACACAAAACAATATATATATTTATTAAAGACATTTTTATGTTTAACGTTGTTATTTATAGATACAAGTATTTAAGCAAATGCTCTGTTTATGATAAACAGTATTAAATAACATTTACCAGCCTGAATGTCAAGAAATTTTCATAGAAAATATTCGTTCTTTGACAGGATTCGAACCTGTATCCTATACGGAACCGTCATTTACACTGATAAATGCCTTTAACCGTCTACATAACAAAGTTTATAAACAGTAAATTCGACCTTGTCTACCGAAAGGTTCTTTGTTCGAATCCTGTCAAAAGAACGAATATTTTCTAAAAATAAACTCATGACATTCTATATAAATATTTTTAATACTGTTTATATAAACATATAGCATTTATATAAATATTTATTCTATAAAATAACAATCAGTTAAACATAAAATTATCTCCATTTCTTAATATATATTTCTTAATATATATATATATATATATATATATATATATATATATATATATATTTTAAAAAAAAAAACATAAATGACGCATTTCGACCTCTGATGTAAATAAATGTCAAAGCAATTAAAAAGTTTTACAAGGCAAATGTAAGGAATTTATGTTGCAACAAGTATTTATAAATAAAAGTAAAAATGTTTGTTTTTTCAAAAGATTTAAATTTAAGAGACGCTCATAAATATTTATTAGGTCAACTGAAATGTCTGCGTAAATTATAAAGGATTCTAATTGATGTCATTTAATGTCTAATAATTGAAACTGAGCAAATAATGCTGAATTTTTTGTATAATTAATATTTAATTTTTTTCAGTATGGGATACATTTATGTATTATATATTTTAAATAACAGGAAGTTACATATTTAATCATCTTTTAATTTTAAAACATTTTATAGTTATGTGTGTTGGCTTTAGAAAAGATTTCCTTTTGTCTTTATACATATCGTCCTTTTACAGATACATTTTTACTGAAAATTTTACACATGAACACGCACACAAATATATATATATATATATATATTCAAATAAAAATATCAATAAAA